GACCCTCTCCAGCCCCTGGTGCCCCCACCATGACTTCGCCCATCCTAGTCCCAGCCCCACTGGCAGAATCAGCTTTGAGTAACTGTACAGTTTTTCTCGCTGTTGGAGAAGACTTATTTGTTGGAGTTTCACTTGTTTAATGGTCTGGGCTTATTTTGGAAAAAAAAAAATCAAAACAAAAAAAAAAGATTCTGACCTTTGTTATGCTACATGTCACGGAAACCCTGTGGTCTTGCCTTGGGCCTTCGCGTCTACACCTGGAGCTGAGGCCGTTGGGGGCGGTAGCATGGGGAGCTGTACACAGAACGAGCCAGGGCCGCGTGGGTGAGTGAAGCTGGCTTTGTTAACAGCAGAGGTGTGGAAGAGGGAAGGGAAATGAACAAATGACCTGAAAAAAGTGCCTTCCTGTGCATGGTGTCTGCACCAGCCCTGAAGGCCTGGGACTCAGTCACTGTCACTGTCGGCCTCGCTGGACTCGGAAGCTGCTGCTTCACTGCCATCCTCCGGCGCCGAGTGCTCGCTGCCACTGGGGAAGGGGCTAGCGCTGCGGCTGCGGCTGCGGCTGCGGCGGCCGCCCCCCTCACTGCCACTGTCCGAGTCGTTGTCGCTGCCGCGGGCCTGGCCTCTGTCCTCCTCCTCAGAATCAGCATCGTCCTCTGAATCCGCATCACTGCCGAAGATCTCCTCTTTGTCCCGAGCGGCCCGGGCCTCGTCTTCGCTGCTCTCGTCCTCGCCGCTGCCACTCTTGTCACTGGCCTCCTCCCTGTCGCCCTCCTCCCGCTCACTCTCACTGCCCGAGTGTTCGTCCTCGCTGCCTTCCTTCTCACTGCTGCTGCCCTTCTCTCTCTCCTCATCTGTGAGGAAGCAGGGAGAAGTGAGGCCCAGTTTCTCCCACCCTCCGGGGTTTCTAGGGTTCATCCTGCCCCTTAATACCTGAGCCCCCAGCTTCTTTCTCTTCTGTCTCCATCTCTTCTTCCTCCTCCTCCTCTGGTTCGTGGTTCTCCAGCTGGGCCTTACGTGCTTCCTGTCAACAACAGGTGGGGAGAAGAGTGTCCTGCAGGTTTCAGCCCATACCACCCTCCCCACTGCCACCTGGGACCAGCGGTGCTTGTTACCTGAGCTTCTAGCTCCTTCTCATTCATGTCCCGGTGTTTGACCACAAGCAGAGCGTTGGTACCAGACTGAACCCCAGCCTTGGCCCTGCGTTTACTCAGGCGAACCCTGTAGTAAGGTGAGGAGGGTGGATTGTGGAAGATGTGGTTTAAAGGTCCCGTCCCTGTACAGTGCCTGCTCCTTCCCGTCCCGCCAGTGAGGGATGTGACCTGGTATGACTTTTACTCTCCCCATTAATGCTTACCCTGAACAGACCATATTACAGACAGATAAGGGAGACTAAGGTCAAAGCTGAGGAAATAGGGAAGGGGAGGGAAATGTTAAGATACAGAGTGGCCACCCTCTAGTACACACGCCCACATTTTAGTGTAGCTTTGGTTAGCAGCACTTAAGATAAACCCCCTAAATTTCTAAATTCTGCCTTTTGGGAATTATGATTATGGGGTTATGGGAATTATGATTATGGGTTTGCCCACCCTAGCAAAGCAAAGATGAAGTAGCATCCTTTGTGGTTGTCACGGTGCCTCTTGGAGGATGCCAAGGGCTCCTCCAGATGACCCCAATTCTACTGTCCACTGCTGCCCCTCACATTTCTTGCTGGCTAAGGGAATGTGTTCATGATCTCTGCTTTAAGTAGAAATTCAGTGTCACACTTTCCCCCAAAAGTCTTACACCAAAGGCCAGCAACAACAGTAAATTAGAGGCCATCGGGGAAGAATTCACATTTTTATACTTGAGTCTGCAGAGGTTCATTTAAAATATGCTGGTCTCGTGTATTACTCCATGAGTTTACTCCCACATGTGTGTGCTCTTAGTAATGGGAAATCTACCCAACTCAACATGCTAGTGGCCGCTGTCACAGGTTTTCTTTCTGGGTTCTTGTGTTAGAGCCAGTCTGCCCCAGGTACACAAGCAGGCTCCTGCTGCTTATAGAGGCATATGAAGACCTTAGGGGGGGCCAGAGTGGCTGAGGTGTACCTCACAGACCTGGGGTCTTGATTCTGAAGCACAGGCCCAAGTAATCTAAGAGCAGAGTGTAGAGTACCTGGTCTCCAGCTCGTTGTAGTATACTCCGTCACCCTCTCGGAAGATGAAGAAGTAGTTTTCCTCATAGCCCTTGCTAGCCTTGTTCTTCACGTTCCAGTTGTACTCCCGAGCAATCTTGTAGTCATACCTGAGGGTGAGGGGATCACAGGGTCACCCCAGTTCTTCCCTACGAGGGAGAAAAGGAGACATACCAAATCCTAACACACGCACACATCATCTGGTGCATAGTCCATCTCTTCCTCTTGATCCCGCTTCCGTTTCTTAAGTGTCTCTTCCACGGGCAGGAAGTAAGCCACAAACTGGTTCCCTTCCTCATCCATCATGCCCCTGGTTGGGGGAAAGGAGGGACAATGAAGAGTGAGGACAGAAGGACAGTGAGGAGCAGGCTAGGCCAGGGCCAGCAGCAGGACCACTGACCTGATCATGGCCTGAGACATCATCTCCAGCGCAGCTGCACCACTCGTGTCCTTCGGGGCTGGGTCCGAGTCAAAGATGACCTGAGCGCAGGGGTTGATCCACATCTAGGGGAGGAGGGAGGGCAGTGGGATTAGCCTGGAACAGGTCATCCCAGCTATCCCTCTTGTCTTCTAACCTGGATCTGACCTTAAAGTCTGGGAAGACTGGCATGACCTCCACTGGTGTCACCCGAGGCTTGCTGTAATGCTGGGAGATCTGGCGGGGGCAAACACAGTGAGGAGGAGGTCACCAAGAACTCTGACCCCACCTATGCGTGCCCTGGGGCCGCTCCCCAATTACCGACTTCTGGGCATCCTCAAAAGTCTTCTCAATAGCTGTGATCTGGCTATCCCTGTCTTTATATATTTCTTCCTCGGTGAACTGCTGCTTCACAGAAACGCCAATCCTACGGTGTGAAGAGGAGAACCCTTAGGGGCCACGGGACACAACAGAAACGTCCACCTTCCCTCCCTACTGACCACAACCTACTTGACCTCGGGCTTCTCATTGGAGATGCCGTAACGGTTGAACTCGGTGGAGATATATTCTGTCTTCCGCATCCACGGCACCACCTTTGCATGCTGCTGGGACCTGGAATGGGATGATTAGGCACCTCAGCAACCCCCTCGCTCCTGCGTATAGATCTGCCCAAGCTAGCCTCTACTCAGCACCTCACCTCTTGGAGCTCGTGGGAGCCTGAATCTCCTCTTCTAAAAGCTTCTCATCAGCTGGATCTAGGAGTACTAGGGGAGAGCAAGGAGGCGGGTGGGACATGGAGGCCCAGGCCTGGCCTCTGCTGGCTAGAGTAGGCCCTCCCTGCCTCCCCACACACCATTGGGGTCGATGCGGTAGGTGTCGGGGTTGATAAGGTCAATGGTGACCCCCAGGTCTGGCTCAGTCAGGAGGTCATGTTTGTGCTGTTTCTCCAAGGAAGTCGCTTTGTACTGGACGAATCTGAGTGAAGAGACATCCAAATGGTTTCCTAGTTTTCAGACTTACCCCTTATCCCTGCTTCCCAGAAGCTGAGTTCTCCAGGGAGGAACTCGGAATGTAGTAGCCCATGTTGGAGTCAGAAGGCTGGCTCTCTGTAAGGGGACGCTGGAACACTACTTGCCCCATTAGCAATCTGGGGCACCCACTGCTGCATGCTGGGCACTGTTCTGGGCTTCGAGGGAAGGCCGACTACAAGGCGAGCAGCCCTTGCCAAGCTGCTTCCCCACCCCTGACCTGTCTCACCTGTTCTGGTCGAAGGGGTAGGTGATGAATTTGGGGTCAAACGGAATGTCGGGGAGGCTATTGCAGTACTTGACTCGGCAGACCACTCCAGACCTGGGAACACAGGGGCTCAAAACCTGGCCCTGGCCGCCCCAAGTCTGCTCCCAGCCCCCAGTGGCCAGTCCTGGGAAAGCACAATGGGGCTCACCTCTCAGGTAGAGTCCGGTGGGAATTGGGCCTGTTAAGAGAAGAGGCATTGATAGATGGGAAGGAGTACGGGGTGGAAGGGGTTTCTCCAAGTGTTTAAAAGGAGGGGGTGACAAAAGCTAATGCTTGTGGGTAGGGGTGCACCGAGTGTCTTAGCAGGGCGGACTGCTGGTAGCAGAGCGCTTCCTAAAATGAGCAAGGTTGCCTTGTAAGAAGGCTGCCTTCGGATGCGTCCGTAAATGAGCCTCGCACTCGACTGATTGTGGAATGGGGGTCTCCACGCGCTTGATGGAGGAAGCAGCACTCAGTTCCTTCAGGGAGGTCTCCAGTTACAGGGGAGGAGAGCCCAACACCGTCCCTAAGGGACTCGTCCCCCCAGTTAAAGGAGATCGCTCCGTGACGTCACGGCGCTCGCGGCCGTCACCAGCAGCTCTGGGAAGGACTGATGTCGTAGGCAAACACCGCGCCCCAACCCCCGCCTCATCTAAACCTAAGACTGGGAAGCAAGCCGTGCTGGCAAGCGGCGCGGCGTACCTGTGGCCGTCCTCCCGCTGGGCCTGGGTTTGGATGGTGGGCGCCATGGCGACGGGAGCCCTGACGGGGTCCTGGCCCAGACGCGAAGGGGCGTGCCGACTTCGGCGGACGCCTGATCCGAGGCAGGTTTCGGGTCAGGATGAGGTGGGCCAGTGAGCGCTCCCGTGACACTCAGGTAAACACGCAGGCACCGCTGGGGACGGACTCGCAGCTCCGGCTCTGCCAACTGCCGCCAAGACGCGGAGGACCCGACAAGTAGCCTCAGGCCGCGAGGCCTTTGGGAAATATAGTCCGGACGGAGCCCACATCCGTATTGGCGGGCAGATGGGTAGGAGGCGGGGCGAAGGAACAAGGAACTCTCATGATTGGTGGGTCGATAGCTCAGTCGGGTCGTCGATGGGAATCAAGTGCAGAGGGTGAAACGCCTTCTCTCCTATTGGTTGACTCGTCCGGGAGGCGGAGCTAACTAGCAAACTGGGCCCTAGAGCTGAGGGCACTTAAAAAAGAGACGCAGTTGTGACGTACTTCCGGCGCGCTAGGCAGGCTAGACATGGCTGCGTCTCAGCAGCAAGCTTCTGCGGCGGCTTCTGCCACTGGCGTGTCGGGTCCGGGTTCGGCTGGTGGGCCCGGTTCCCAGCAGCAGCCGCAACCGCCAGCACAACTGGTGGGGCCTGCCCAGAGTGGACTTTTGCAACAACAGCAACAGGACTTCGATCCTGTGCAGCGCTACAAAATGCTCATCCCTCAACTGAAGGAGAGTCTACAGGTAATTGGCTGCGAGAAGCAAGAGGGGTCTGGTTCTCTGACTCCAAGGGATCTTGGGTGGAGGGAACGGGCTGCTTAGTCGGGAGCGAGCAAAAGGTGTATCCGGCAAGGACGAGTGAGACTTGGTCCTTTTGTGAGGCGAAATCGAAGTTCTGCGAATTGACGTGTGGGGTGACGTGCGCGAGGATGTTCATCAAGCCAGAGGATTGGCCGGAATTCGTGTGAGAGGGAGTTGAAAGGAGAAACCAGGCTCTGGTCTTTAAAAGCCGAGGAAAGGACCGTCCTGAGCAGAGATTCAGTTTGTGGTTGGCGGGTGAGGGCATGTTCGAATGGTTATTGGTGGGAACCTTAGGTGAGAGCGAGCGTCTGGAAAAATACGGATGATAATTGTTACGGGAATAGAAGGAACGTTACTCTTAAGTGACTGGGAGAGAGTGGCCAAGTGAAGAGCCTGAGGTTGGGTGGATCTTGAAGGAGCTTGCAGAGCCAAGCTCTGCATCATTTTCTGCATCATTTTTTCCTCCCAACTAGACTTTGATGAAGGTTGCAGCCCAGAACTTGGTTCAGAACACTAACATTGACAACGGACAGTGAGTGTAGTCCCCTTCACCCATGATGTTCTCCCCACTCCATCTGTCTGAGAAACTCCCCATCACCACCACCCATCCACCCTTTCCTCCTGTTTTCAATCCTGGCTCCCTTGAACCAGCCTTGTTCTTTTGCCCCTTCTACTACTAACTGTCCCCTAGACCCTGCCTCAGGTTCTCCTAAGCCTATATCTGGTCCCAAATGGATGCTTGTTTGGGTGGCCACTGATGTCCCAGAGATTGCAGACCCATTTCCCAGTCACCTTCTTCTCCTGGGATATAGAAAGAGCAGCGACGGACCCATACAGCGCTTTGACAAATGTCTGGAGGAGTTCTATGCACTTTGTGACCAGCTGGAGCTTTGTCTGGTAAGGGGCCTGCATGACCATACCCTGCCTCTCCCCGCTGGGGTCTTCAGAAACCCTATTTTAGCGAACACGCACTAACTGTGCACCTCCCATGGTTCAGATTTGTGTTTCACTGTTACCCTGAACCTTACCTTCGCAGAACTTTCTGGTTAGTGGGTGGCGTGTATCTCCAAACAGTGATAAATCATCGTGGTTAGGGCTTTGATGGGAGAAGTCCTGACCACAGAGTTCAGGATGGGAAAACACAGGCAGGTGCACACGATTAAAACAAGGGAAACTCAGGGTACTGTGGAAACCCAGAGCCTAGTCACTGATGTTGCCTAGTTGGGGGCTGGCTAAGTAGAGACTGGCTTGGGAAGCTACTGGTGGAGAGCACATCTGGGCTGAGCCTGGAACAGAAATGGAAGCAAGGCAGGATTTGTCCAGCCTCTGGAATCAGACACACTACCAGTCTCTGTGCAGGAGCCATGGGGTCCTCCTTTGGAAAGTAAATTTGCAGGGAAAAAACTGAGCAAGATCACAAATATAAAGAACTTAACAGTACTAGGCGTATGATAAACGCCTCCTGTAGTATCCACATCATTATTTTGGACTGGGACTTGAAGGACAAGTCAGAGCTGGAGAGGCCTTGTGGTGGGAGAAAGGCTTTGCAACCAAAGCATCAGCTCCTGCTTTGAGCTCCTTTTAGGAACATCAGTCAGTCTGGCTGAGGTATTGTAGACATTGGCACTTGCTGGACTTTGAAGATAGCCCTAGGGGTGTCAGGGAGCCATAGAGGGCTTCCAGCAGGGAAGAACACTGGGCCATTTGCTTTATTAGGACTAAGCCTCTGGCTGCCAACTAAGGGATGGATTGGAGGCTGGGAGCCCACAGAGGCGCCATGACAGGACTCGGGTGGTCGGGGCTGCACCGTTACAGGGCTGAGGGAGTGGACAAGTGCAGGTGGGAGCGGTTCTAGGAGGTTGTGTGTCCCGGCCATGAAACTGAAGGCTGTGGAAGGCAGCTCTAGTTGGAATGGCCAGGCTGATACAGGGGCTTAAGGGCTTAGGTGGGGGAGGGAAAATACAAGAGAGTTGAAATTTTGGTGAGGGGACACGATGTGGTGTTATTTCTGTGGGGGTGGAAACTGAGCCTGACAGGGCTCCAGACAAAGAGGAAGAGACAGGCTCTGGGAATTGCTATTTTTGAAGACTTGGATAGGCCTCCCTGGGGCACAAGGGGTTAAGTCTCAGCACTATGAAGCTGTCTGCAATCACTGCAGCATGAGTTTGACACCCCCTGACCCATGTCAGTTGCTGACCCACAGGGCGCAGGAGACCTCTCCTGTCTCCCCGTTGCTCCCCTCAGCAGTGGATTTCAGTAGACCTGCCTGTTCTGCTCCCCACTCTGTCTCTGATCAGCCTCACACCCTGCACCTCTGGCCTACACCCCAGCTCTTATATGCATAAATAAAGTAAATCTTTAAAAATAAAGACTTGGGGGCCCTCCCTGGTGGCGCAGCGGGTTAAGGCACAGCACTGAGAAGCTAAAGCCACTTCCGCATGAGTTCGATTCCCGCCTGCCCCGGGGGAGATCCACATGGCGCGGCAGACCTCTCCTGACCCGCCCGCTGCTCCCCTCAGCAGTGCACTTCGTCGATCTGCCTGTTCTGCTCCCCACTCTGTCTCTGGTGAATCCTCTCACCCTCCGCATCTCTGGCCTGTACTCCAGTTCTGTATAAATAAATAAATAAATCTTTAAAAAAAAAAAATAAAGACTTGGGCAGGCTAAGAAGTATCTGGAAGAAGCAACCAGAGAAGTAGAACCAAATCTTGGAGCAGGCGCCATCAGAGACAAGATTGGTGGTGTAGAGCCTAGACTGTCACAACAGTGGACGTGGGTGTTCCTTAGTTAGCTCATAAGTGGTGCGCCAGAACCCAGGTTTGAGACCCTTCTCATCTGGTGAGGTGGCACAGCGGCCTTTAAAGCCATTGTCTGTAGGAGGACACAGGCTCAGAGGAGTGCAGCCTCAGGCCTGAGGCTCCCAGCATGAGGTTAGCAGGGCTGGTCTCCCACTCCAGACCCTGGCACCGGAGCCAAAGGGACTGGCTGGGCTGACCCTCTGGGGGGGAGAGCTCGGGAACTTGGCTGGTGCTGCACCTCACCTGTCTGTCCACAGCGCCTGGCACACGAGTGCCTGTCACAGAGTTGTGACAGCGCCAAGCACTCTCCGACACTCGTGCCCACAGCCACAAAGCCCGACGCCGTGCAGCCCGACAGCCTACCCTACCCGCAGTACCTGGCGGTCATCAAAGCCCAGATTGCCTGTGCCAAGGACATTCACACAGCCCTGCTGGACTGCGCCAACAAGGTCACGGGCAAAACACCTGCGCCCCCAACAGGCCCTGGGGGCGCTCTGTGAGCTGGCTGGGCGGGGAGTGGGGCGGGAGGTACTGGGGGAATGAAGAGTAGCCTGGAAGCCACCTTGTCTCTGACTTTTCTTCACACCCGAGTTCTGAGGCTGGAGCCACCAGGGGGCAGCAGAGGCCGGCAGGGAGCACAGGGCCTGCCGCGCCCTGGCAGAGGCCTGGCTGGACCCTGGACTCTGCAGGTTGGTGCCCTCTGTCCAGGGGCTTTCCCCCTTCCTGACCTGGGTGTGGAGCTGCTGCAGGACCTTGACTGCTGTCTGTCTTGACTCCGTCCCCGTTGGAGAGCGGTCTCTGGCAGCTGCTCGCTCCGGCCCACTGTGTGTCATCTCCCTCTTTGCCTTCCTGCCCAGTCTCTGCCCTGTGGTCTTCCTGCCTCTCACCACTTCCCAGCCCCCTTTGTTGTCTCGCACTCCCAACTCCAGGCTTGGACTTGGTGTCACTGAAGGGGGTCAGAATGTGGGAGCCAGAAACCCTGGCTGGCTGGGGTCAGAGGAGCTGCACTTTCAAGGCCCACAGCCCAGCCTCCAAGGTCTTTGGCCATGAAAGGGGAAGTGAAGGGGTCTAGGTTTTGACCTCTGCATGGCTGGTTGGGAGCAGCTCAGGCCCACACCCGCACCAGGGCTGCTGCGTCAGCAGCCCTCAAATTCAGGGTGTTGTGCAACCTGTGAAGCCTGGCCCAACTGGATGCCGGGGCCCTTGTATTTTTAGCCCTAAAAGAGAAGTGAAAAGGCCTCAGCAGGGGTGAATCATCAGTCCTGGGGAAGAACCCAGGCACGCCTGGGCCCCAGCTCCGGGAAGCAGGTCTTAGGGAGGGGGCTTTGAGGAAGGTGCACCCCATCTGACTCCCCCTTTCCCCAAGAGCATGCTTGGAGCTGAGTTTTGGGGAGCTCAACCGTGGCCTTCAGGCCTGGGCAAGTGCAGGGCGGAGCTACCAGCCCAGGCCCAGCTGTTGGGGTGTGAAAGGCTCAGTGACTCAACCTAGTTGGGGGACTGCCCCACCCAACACCTTCTGTGTCCTGGTTCCCATGTCAGTACTCAGAGGCCTCCTTCCTGGACCCCACTTCTGCATGGAAATGCCAGACTCCTGGAGACTTATGATCAACCCAGAGCCCAAGTCCCCACACTGGAATCCTGGGATATGACGGGGTGGGTGCACGGGCCCATCTCCCTGCCCTTTCCTGAAATGCCATGCACACGGGGCAGACCCCAGAACGGGCAGCAGCTGGGGCTGCCGCACACAGGCGACTCTTCAGGGAAGCCATGGCTGTGCCCATTTCTCTGCTTGTCCAGCGCCCCAGAACTTGTAGGGTCACCTCCCTTAATTCACAGCAGCTTATTTTGTACTTTGGACACATGTGCTGAACCCTCTCACTGCATGTAGATTTAGTATTTGAATAATGTGGACTCTTGCCTAGCCAGGTTAATACATGAACCTCACCATCATAGTCAAGGCTCTTCTCCCTAATCTCCAGATAAAAACATCGTCTCCAGATAAAACAAGCAGTGGCACTGCCAGCTAACGTAATGCTGTGATCTTTGTGCACCCAGAAGTGTGCTTTCCGCAAACTCCCCAGGTTCCACGGGGCATGGCCTCCCAGCACCCACGGTGGGGTCCCAGCAGTGTCTAAAACTGAACTCGGAGACGTGCAGGATGTGGGGAGTGTGGCGGATGCAGCCCCGCAGCCCCACGGGACAAGCTGTGCTGCCTGCGCCCAGTCCGCACACAGCAAACACCTGGCGGGGCCCGCAGTCTCTTGAGACGGGTCAGTCTGCTAAAGTAAGCCCTGTCAGACAGGAAGGACCAAGGAAAGGCAGAGATGTGAGATCAAAAGCAGAGGTTTATCAAAACACACGAGTAAGTGACATGAACCAAGGTTTTCACATGAGCTGTGTTGCCTAATCGAAAACATTGGAAAGCTTAGTGGTCTGTGGGTAGTGTCATCTGTGAGATGGGTTACATGTACTTTGTTTTTTAGTTAAAAAGCAAGTTTTTTTATTTAAAAAATAATCCTTGGCAGTGGGTAAGAAGGCTTCACTGAAGGACTGAAGGGAAGGACTCGAAGGAGAGGGATTAAGTCACCGGCACACTCAGGACAGGAGCTTTCCCTAAGGGAATGCCTCGTGCAGAAGCCCGAAGCGGGGCCATGCTAGTGGGCTCACAGAACCATGTGGAGTCCTGGACCCAGTCAGGCCAGCAGTGGAGAGGAACTGGAGGAGCTCAGGGAGGTTTTCGCTAGATTATCCCAACCAAAGGAAGACTGGACAGCCTGGGGCAGCACCGCACACTCTGGGAATGTTACACGTGAGCTGCCCGGCCAGGCAGGGCCAAGCCTGACCCCAGGGGTACCAGCGCACACCTGGCCCTAGCAAGTGTCTCGTCACCATCCCAGAGGCAGGTTAAATGAACAATCCAACCACATGAATATACAAACAACCGTCTAACCACCACTTAACCTGCTATCACTCTCCTCATCGCAGACTTTGCCCATCTCGAGCTGACTCAGCCTTGCCCTGGTTCAGCATTATGTTCAACATTATCAAAAGCAGGCTCGTCCAGGGAGAGATAAGGCTTCTCAGGTGCGAGTGCGTGTTATGTCTTCTCTGCCCACAGAGGCCGGCTGGCCCAGATCTGGGGGGCAGTTTGTGTGTGTGTGGGGGGGGTCGCGTACCAGAGGCCTCCCCATCAGTTAGTGCAGACGTCAGGCGTCAGAGTTCACCAGTTTCACTGCCTTGTGATGAGCACCACAAAGGGAGCCTGTTCAGACGCTGCCCCGGGACCCCCACTTCTAATGACACCCCAACCCGGAGTTGTGCGCACCTCCCACGACCCTCATCACATCAGAGGATACAGGTGCCCTCCCCAGGCACCCTTCAGAATTACGCACACTTAGTCACTCCAGCTCCCGGTGGCGGCCAGCGCCTCGCAGCCGCACAGGTACGTCTAAGTCACACGTCCAGAGAATGCCACCTCCGAGGCTGCTACAGTTGAGCACTCCCACACCCAGGGCGGCAGGGGACACCGCAGCCCGGTCCATCCCAGATCCGTCGGTTTGTCACTCGCATGGGCAGAGCCGTGGCGGGCGGGCTGGGCGAGCGCAGGTCTCACAGGAAGCCGGCCACGCTCGGGGCCCACACCGACCGCACACGCGGCCACAGACGCCCCGACCTGCCGAGCAAACACTCGCGCGCCTGCAGGGCGCACCCCGCTGTCCTCGCGCGGCTGTCTTGCCCGCGACCCCGCTCTCCCCGCTCCCGCCCCGCGGGCGCACCCCGGGCCCAGACACACGTGCCGCGTGGACACGGCCCCCGGGGCCGCCCGCGCACTCGCAGTCGCTCTCACACCCCCGCGTTTCCCGTCCCCGCTTGTTTTTCTGGAAACTCTGCTCTCCGTTCCCCTCCCCCCAGGCCGGAAGCGTTCGCCGTATTTTTAGCCTCTCGTTTCCGCCCCTTGCCCCCAGTTCTGCCCGCCCAGGGCCTGCCTTTCTGCGCCCCGCGGGGGGACCCCGGCCGTCCCCTTCCCCACCGTCATTCCAGAGGGGATTCCCGGCCGCCACTGGGGCCACGGATTTTCCCGCTGGCGACGCTGGGAGTAGGGAGGAGTCGGCCTTCCACTTCCTCCTGGGCTGCCGCGCCGGTGGCCCGGTGGGCTTTGGGGCGGGGGATTTGAGCCAGCTCCGAAGCGGGAGGGACGAGGGGCTGGGGCTCAGGCTGGGGTCCGAGAGGAGAGGTGCGTGCGGGGCCGGGTCTCCTCGATCTGAGGAAGGTAGGGAGCAGAGGCCGGGGCTCCTGAACCTTAAAAGGCCGCCTAGGGGACCCGGAGACCGAGATCTGAGCAAGGAGGGGGTAAGGCCCGGTCTCCCGGCTCCGATCCGTCAGTGTTTGGGTGAGTGGTCGGTCTTCCCGTGCGCAACACCCCTCGCCCTCCTCTTTGAGAATCGCCCAATCCCCTGCGACCTGGCTTTCGGGCGGGTGACTCAGCAGAAAGGAGAGGGGAGGGGGTCAGCCTGACTCAGGGGTGGGAAACGCTCCCGGTCTCCAAGGAATCGAAACTGGAGTTCCTCCTCCAGGATTGGGGCCGCAGCCGAACGGGGCTCCCGGGACCCCCGGGTATCCCCCACCTTTCGTTTCCCCGCAGTCTTAGTCTCACTAGCACCCCGGGAATTTGGAGCTCTGCCGGGAGACGGGTGCCAGGCACCTCCCCTTCCCCCCTTGTTCTCCAGGCTCTGTTTACAGACGACTGAAACCCTGGTTACTGGAGAAGAACCCGGGCGGGCGTCCGGGCCCGGCTCGTCGTCACGGCTTCCAGGAAGCCGCCCCTCCCCCGCCCCTGCTAGTGAGTCACGGGCGAGCGGGAGGCTGCGATCGTGCCAGAGTCGCCCGCGGTCGCCCAGCTCACGGGACCGGCCGGGAAGGCCCCTCCGCCCCAGAAAGCGCCGCATCAGGGATTCCCCCAGGCTCTGTCCAAATAGCAAGTCAGCGCGCCTGATAGAATCTCCCCACCTCAGTACGAGCCCGCAGTCGCAGACTTGAGAATGAACTTTTCCATCATTTTAAGTGCAACGATTTCTACCCCGGTAGTTTCAGGGCAACGAACTCAACAAGACCCTCTTCAAAAATTCGTTCTCTGGCAGATCTTGAAGTTTTACGCAGGGCAACCCTTGATAAGAAACTTTGTTTACCCAGTGTGGGGAGTGGCTCCCCCCAAATTAACTCAAGCGAGACGTCTCAGGGGGTGACCCCACATCTCAAAACAGATTTCCAGCCAGGCAACTCTGCACCGTAATAAAAGAACTTCCCTTTTCCAATCCTGAGTTTTAATCAGAGAACAAACCTAACATCATAACATGAAGCCTTGGTAGAAGAAAAAAACAAAGCACCGCCATTGCTACCTGGAACTAAGAGAAGAACTTGAACTCTGCCCGTTTTTCCTGGTGGGTAAAATGGGCACAAAAGCACCTCCGGAAGCACCGTCACAGAAAGAACCCAGTGTACAGGAAAGGCCCGGGGGGCTTCAGCGTGCAGGAGGCTGGGGGGCTGCAGCAGCCCAGGGGTTGGGAGTGGAGGCGCCTTTCCAGTCCGTTCAGAGAGCGGACCACCGCCCCCCCCCCCGGAAGGGGGGGGGAGGACAGCAGGCCGGTCCTCCGGGCATCCGGTGTTTGGGGGGCCAAACCCGCCAAACGGACAGGTCTCAGAAAAGAATTCTCCACCAGACCTGGTGGCCTCCTCTCTCCGTTTGGCCCCAGCGGACTAACGTCTGATTCTCGTCTGTTTCTTTAGGTGACCCTCTCTCGAGCTCCTTCCTCTGGATTTCTCTCCTTGGGATTGTATCACGTCGTCTCTGTCCCTATCTCCTGGCCTCCCCTCTTCTGCCCACCGTGATGGGTGTGTGTGTCTTTGTTTTTCTCTGTTTCTCGAGGCTCCGTTCGGGGTGCCCTCCCCGCCCCTGTGCCCACGCCCTCTCGGCCGGGTCATTTCCCCCAGGAGCCCTGCCCCCACCTCCGTCCCAGTTCCCTGCTCCGCGCTTCAGTTTCCAGCCTTGAAGAGCGAGACGACAGCCCCTCCCCCCCCCAGCGGGTCGCAGCCACCCGTGGGCCGGGCTCCCTCCCGTTCGGGGGCGGGTCACTCCCTGCGGGGCGGACGAGAACAGTCCAACACCCGCGGGCCGCTCGTCCGGGAAGCGCCCTCCAGGCCCCGCCCCTCCAGGCCCCGCCCCCGAGGCCCCGCCCGACGACCTGCCTATAAATACCCCTGCTCGGCGGGCCGCTCTCAGCCGGACACCAGCGCTCCCAGTTACTACGGTCCTCTCAGCCGACCGGCCGTTCGCGCCGCCATGGACCTCGCTTCCATCTACGAGGTGAGTTCTCGCCGGCCGGCACCGCCGGGGTCCGCACCCAGACTTCCGAGCCTGGCGCCTCAAACTCCGGCCCGGGACCCGGCTCCCCCCTCAGAACGGAGCGCTTAGCGCCGCACCCCGGCCCGGGGTCCGAGCCTCCCCTCTCAAGGCAGTGCGTCCCCCTGGCTCTGGGAACGGGAACCCGCGGCTTTCGCCCAGAACTGGGAGGAGCGGCCCGTGGGGATGGAAAGCGGCAGACTTTTCTCAGAGCCGGGCTGTCGGAGGCGGAAATGGCCCCACACCTGGTTTGCCCCTGGTAGTTGCTCAGGGCGCGGCTTGCGCGGAGGCGGTCTGGGCTGGCGTCCTGGGTGAAGGGGAGCGAACTGCTTTTCCTCCGCTCCCTGACCGGAGCACGTCTTCGGGAAGGCTGAGACCGAAGGGAGACGGACTTCGAGTTAACTCTGACCGCTCCGCCCTCAGTTGAGAAACTGGAGAAACCAGGGCAAGGCCCGGGGTCAGCTCCGGAGAGGCCCAGAGCCCCCAAACTGAAGGACAGTGGTGTGCCCTGACTTGGGGATCCCTTCTTGATCCTGCCATGGAAGCCGGGATGTCGGGTTCCCTTTGGGATAGGCTTCAGTTGCTGTAAACGCAGAACCTCCAAACCCGGATCCCTGTGATTCCAAATCCACAGGTTTCTGCCGACGGGTGGGGCTCAGGCTGGGCGCCCACAAACCGGACTGGCAAGCTCTTAGGTGCCCTGCAGCTGGGGTGGAGCGTCGCCCTGCGTTTTCGGTGTTTTAACCGATCTCTGTTCCCACAGAGCCTTTCGTCGCTGAGCCCTGAATCCAATCACGGAGAGACTGAATCCAGCCAGGGCTGGGCCTCCTCGCGGCACTGGAGCCTCAGCTTATCCGACTCCAGCCCACCTGGAGTCGCTGCCCGACTTCCTGGCCGCTCCACCAGTTTAGTGGAGGGCCGAAGCTGCGGCTGGGTGCCCCCACCCCCAGGCTTTGCACCCCTGGCTCCCCGCCCTGGCCCTGAACTGTCACCCTCTCCCACCTCACCTACTTCAGCCCCCAGCACCTCATCCCGCTACAAGACTGAGCTATGCCGGACCTTCTCGGAGAGCGGGCGCTGCCGCTACGGGGCTAAGTGCCAGTTTGCCCACGGCCTAGGTGAACTGCGCCAGGCCAGTCGCCACCCCAAGTACAAGACGGAGCTCTGCCACAAGTTCTACCTCCAGGGCAGCTGCCCCTATGGCTCCCGCTGCCATTTCATCCACAACCCCAACGAGGATCTAACTGGCCGTGGCCACCCCCATGTGTTACGCCAGAGCATCAGTTTCTCGGGCCTGCCCACGGGCCGCCGAACCTCGCCACCACCAGCAGGGCTGGCTGGCCCGTCCCTGTCCTCTTGCTCCTTCTCGCCCTCCAGCTCCCCACCTCCACCACCTGGGGATCTGCCGCTTTCACCCTCTGCCTTCTCTGCTGCCCCTGGTACCCCTGTGGCCCGAAGGGACCCGACCCCTACCACCTGTTGCCCCTCCTGCCGAAGGGCCACCCCCAGCAACGTATGGGGGCTTGGGCCATTGGGTAGCCTGGCTCGGAGCCCCTCTGCACACTCTCTGGGATCTGATCCCGACGAATATGCCAGTAGCGGCAGCAGCCTGGGGGGGTCTGATTCCCCAGTCTTTGAGGCTGGGGTTTTTGGGCCACCCCAGCCACCTGCATCATCCCGGCGACTCCCAATCTTCAATCGAATCTCTGTTTCTGAGTGACAAGTGCCTGCTGGGTACAGAACAGCTGGATCTCAAGGGGGGTGCGTTTCTCTTGTGCTGTGGGCACCACAGGGACCCAGGGGCTGTGGAGAGCTGGTGTGGGGGTGACGCAAGCAGCCCCTCTCCCTCCACCATATAAAATGCATTAATCCTCTCCTAACCCCATACTGGGGCTGGTCCCCAGTGTGCAAGCTCAGTGTCCATGGTATTGGGAAGGATGCTTTCTGGGACCCTTTTCTAAAAAATGTAGCGAATTTGAGGGAGGCAGTGAGTCCTTCTTCTCCCCACCGCTCCCCTACCCAATGCTGTGAATAACAGGCCCTCACTGCCTTCTCCCAATTCTCCTACCCCCCTGAAGTTCCAGTGCCTGGTAGTGACTGGAGCCTTCCAAGGGGGAACCCTGGTGCTCAAGTTTCCCTCCAAAATCAAGTAGCCAAAAACCGTTGCCAAATCCCTTCACCCCTTCCTGCCCCCAACCACTGGGCCCTTTTATTTATGACGACTTTATTTATTCTAAAAGGTTTTATAGTATTTATATATATTGGGTCGTCTGCTTCCCTTGTATTTTTTTTCTTCCCTTTTTGTAATGCAAATGATAAAAGAATTATTGTTATAAGTATACTATAATATATTAATATATTATCATAAAGTTTTATTTTTGTCTCTTTGGAATTTTTAAATAAAAAAATTTGCGTAATCTGGAATCGTGGCTTTTCTGCCGGCTAGGGGCAGCGAGAGGAGTAGGGTGGATTGTGGGGCCTTTTTTAGAAGGGACTTGGATAGCCCAGAGCTGTAAACCTTCCAGGGCAGAGCCGGCCTCGGCGCTTACCTGGCAGGAAGTGACGTCACCCGACTCCGCCATTCACCTGAGAAGGCGGGGCCAGGTGAGGTCACCGGTAGGAACCGGGAGAGCCAGTTCCCAGGGCGTGGGGGGCGCTCTGGACCTGCCGGGCCCCTAGACCAGCTCGCGGGCGGGACGGGATGTTTCCGTTCCCGTGGGGCCGCGAGAGGAGGGAGGGGCGCTGTCGGGGGGGGGGCGGAGGACGGAATGTGCCAGGGCGCTGGCCCGGGCCGGAGGGGGGGGGCGCGAGGGGACGCCGCGGAAGCCTGGGGTCCTAGCACCCTGCCTTCTGGACTAGAGCTGGGGGCACCCAGGTTTTCGGCTTCCGGGAGGGGAGGGCAGTTTCTGAAGCCCCAGGTTCTGGAATCTTAACAATCTGCAATCTCAGTTAACTCTGGCGACTTGGGTTTTCGAGCCCTGGTATCGCAGGACGTCGAGGAGTGGCGGAGGGCTGTAGATGTCGGGCTTTCCGGAACCCGAAAACTTTAGAGCTACAGAACCTTGGCCAGCGGGGTTCGAGCCATTCGGGAATGACGGGGTCTGGGCATTTCCGAGTTTTGGCCGCTCGAGGCCTCGCGCTCCGGGCTGGGCCGGGCCGGGGTCGCGGGGCCAGAGTGTG